ACTACACTACGTGGGAGTCCAGCGACATAGCCATTACGCTAACTGCTGGTTCCCTTTTTTTTTTTTTTGAGAGAGTTTATAAGTTTCTTTTTTTTTTTCTTTTTAGAGGTTTTTGCTACAGGGCACGTGAGCTGGACGTGCCTGGCGTGAGTTTTAAGCCAATGGGTCCGGGACGTGAACCGCAGTTGACTACGTGGAAGTCCAGTGACATAGCCATTTCGCTAACTGCTGGTCCCATAAGTTTCTATGTATAAGCTGCCCTAATTTTATTTTGTAAGTGTGCATGCCAGTGAGAGACGGACTGAAAGTAAGAAATCACCCCCAGGGGGAATGGCCATGCCACAGTCCCTTCTCCTCTATTCTCCTTTCAGGATTTTGGGTACGCACGCACATGTTTCCAGCAAGATTTTCAAGCTACCATGTCCAGGACTTGAACAGTGGTCAACCTTGTAGGAGTTCAGCACCTTAACCACTATATCACCTGCTGCCCTGGGAATATTTTTTTAAATGGAAATTTAGCTATTTCCACCTCAATCATTCACTAGGTCCCCTTTAAAACTTAAAGGTGTTTATATCTTAAGAGATATTTAAAGCATTAAAAAACTATAGCAGTTTCCAAGAATTTTCCCAAAGTATGGTTGAGTATTCCTTACCTGAAATGCTTGGGACCAGAGTATTTCAAATTTGAGATTTTTTTTTTTGGAGAGATTCTTGCTATAGGGCGCGTGCGCTCGCCAGAAAGACAGAGAGAGACAGAGAGCGAGAAATCACCCCCCAGGGGGATGGCCACACTGCAATCCCTTCTCCTTCATTCTCCTCTCAGGATCTTGGGCACGCACACTCACGTGCCGTAAGTTTAAGCCACCGGGTCCAGGACTCGAATCGCGGTTGACTACATTGGAGTCCAGTGACATTGCCGTTACACTAACTGCTGGTCCCGAGAATTTATTTTTTTCTTATATTTTGGAATATCTGCATACACATAATAAAATACTGTGGAAACAGAACCCAGGTCGAAACATAAAATTCATCTATGTTTCATATACAACTTGAACATTGTTTTATACATTTTTTTTTTTTTGAGAGGTTTTTGCTATAGGGCGTGTGCGCTCGCCAGACAGAGAGAGAGAGACAGAGAGACGGAAAGCGAGAAATCACCCCCCGAGGGGGGATGGCCACGCCGCAATCCCTTCTCCTCCATTCTCCTCTTGGGATCTTGGGCACGCACGCACACGCGCCCGGCGTGAGTTTTAAGCCACTGGGTCTGGGATGCGAACCGCGGTCGACTATGTGGGAGTCCAGCGACATAGCCATTTACGCTAACTGCTGGTTCCCTGTTTTATACATTATTTTTACACTAGAATGTTTTGACTGCAGCCAGTCACATGGGGTCATGTGCGGAATTTCCTACTTGTGTCATAACAATGTTTAAAAATGTTCAGGTTTTAGATTTCAGATTTTCAGATTAAGCAAGGCACGACTTAGGCTACGGAGCTGGGAACACAGGCAGGTCAAAGGCAGATGGGTCACACTGAGCAGGGACTGCGGTCCGCCCTGGAGTCCGAGCACTCTCTGCTTGCTCAGGATCCCTCCACCTACCTGCTGTGGGGAGGCCACAGGGCACCTCCAGCTCCCGGGCTTCCTCCTCTCCCTCCTGGTCTGACACGCCATTCTCCACAGGTCCCGAGTTCTCCTTTAGGCTCCCTTCTTCATTCCCCTCAAATGACTCCTGCTTTACAGGTGCTTTGGAGATGGGCTTTTTCTTCTTTTTGGGCTTTGGCTTAGGTTGAAAGAGCCGTTTTTTCTCTAATTCAATACTTTTTTTGCCTATAAAAAATATTTGCAATTATAAACTAAAGTACAAATTTTTGGTTAAAAGTACTTTATGTGGTAATATGTCCTTATTTTTCCTTTTAATTACATACTTACCCTCCCCGTTCCTTCCCAGTGAATTCCTAAGGACTACAGCACCACAGTGGATGCCGTTAAGTCATAAACACGATGCCCAGCTCTCCCTGGACACGTACTGTGTGCCCTACAAGCAGGGCATTCTCTAGCACCACAGCACAACTGATGAAGTCAGGAAACGAACACGGATACGTTACTGACGTCTCCACATACTTCATTTTGCATTTTGCAGTTTTTTGACCATCGGGCCAAAGAGACAGACAGTGAGAGGGAGGGTGAGAAATCATCCCCAAGGCGGATGACCACGCCACAATCCTTTCTCGGTACTCCTGGGATCTGGGACATGCGCGCACACACACCTGGTGTGATTTTCAAACCCCTGGGCCCAGGACTCATACCACGTACTCACCTGGTGGCCCTCTTTACTTATTTTTACATCACTTTTATTAAGGTGTAATTTAAACAATAAAATATAGCCACATTTAGTACTCTGGTGAGTTTGACAACGTATATACAGTCATAAGCCACTACCACTCCCCAAGACTTAAAATATCTGCATCACCTCAAAAAGATCCCACATCACAGGGACCAGCAGTTAGTGCAATGGCTATGTCACTGGATTCCCATGTAGTCGATCGTGGTTTAAGTCCTAGACCTGGTGGCTTAAAACTCATGCTGGGCGCGTGTGGTGTGTGCCCAAGATCTCGGGAGAAGGGATTGTGGTGTGGCCATCCCCCCTGGGGGGTGATGTCTCGCTTTCTATCTCTCTGTCTCTCTCTGTCTGGCGAGCACATGCGTCCTATAGCAAAAACCTCTCAAAAAAAAATAAAAAAAAATAAAAAAGATCCCTCATCTCTCTCGGTGGGAAGACACACCCCTCCCGAACCTCAGGCAATCACTGCTCTGGTGTCACTGTGGTTTTGTTTTGCCTGTTCTAGAATCTAACACAAACAGAATCAGACAGTACAGTCTTTTGTGCCTCCCTTCTTTTGCTCAGCATGTTTTCCTGAGATTCATCCGTTTTGCTCTATGTCAGTACTGCTGAGCGGAATTGTGTGGGGATACACAACTATTTATTCATTTATCTGCTGACAGGCATTTGCATTGTTTCCAGTTTTCAGTGATCAAATATAAAACTGTGTTTCTGTATAAGTCTTTATGTAGGCATATTATCTTATTTTTTTTGACAAGTTTTTCCTATAGGGTGTGTGAGCGGTCTGGCGAGCACATGCGTCCTATAGAGACAGAAAGCGAGAAATCACCCCCCAGGTGGGATGGCCATGCCGCAATCCCTTCTCTTCCATTCTCCTCTCGGGATCTTGGGCACACATGCACACGCACCTGGTGTGAGTTTAAGCCACCGGGTCTGGGACTCAAACCGCAGTCAACTACATGGGAGTCCAGTGACATAGCCACTACGCCAACTGCGGTCCCCATATTATCTTATTTCTGGTTGTTTATGTTGTATAGTTGTTTGTAGCAGGTAGGCAAGTCTGATACCCGCTGTCCTTTCTTGACAGGAACTGGAATTCTCTTGTTACTTGTTTTCAGCTCAGTCGTCCCAGACTTGGTCAGTGGGACTCTCTTAGAGTCGGCTTCTCTCTCCTTTAAATTGTCTCTTTGATTCCTTGGGGATTAGGTAATGTTCCAGGTATTATCTTGTGTTTTCCCCACCCTAGCCTGGAACCAGCCATTTCTCCAAGGAGCCACAGCCCCTTTAAATAGAAAGTAAGATTCAGGAATGAGGCTCTGGGTGCTGGGTGTACGTGTACTCCGAGGTGTTGTTCTCCTCAGGCCCCCACAGCTGTTTCCCTCGCTCAGGCTCCAGGCCCCCTGCCACACTGCTGCTGCTGCCCAGATGAACAACCTCCTTAGCTGGTCCTGCTCAGCTCAAGTACTAAGGAAGGAAGGAAGGGAATTAGCCACACGTTTTACGGGCTTCAGGTTCTACCTGACCTTGAGGAGGCCGGGAATGATCTTGCATGGACGTGAGCCACTTGTACACACAGAAGTCATCTGCTCCCGAATAGATGCAGTCTGGATCCAACGGGGACCACACCACACACAGCAGTCGACCTCGGTGTCCTCGGAAATTGCAGAGAGGTTCTGCCCGGAGAGTATCCCACACCTAAACCCAGGAGTCACATGGTGAAACAGATAGTTCTGGTCACCCTAATATTTTGAGGGCATATATTTTCCAATTAAAAAAAAAAAATCGGGAACCAGCAGTTAGTGTAATGGCTATGTCGCTGGACTCCCACGTAGTCGACCGCGGTTTGCATTCTGGACTCGGTGACTTAAAACTCAACGCCAGGCGCGTGTGCGTGCGTGCCCAAGATCTCGAGAGGAGAATGGAGGAGAAGGGATTGTGGCGTGACCATCCCCCCTGGGGGGGGATTTCTCGCTTTCTGTCTCTGTCTCTCTCTGTCTGTCTGGCGAGCACACACGCCCTATAGCGAAAACCCCCCCCCCCAAAAAAAATCTAGAGACTAATTTCCTCATTTGATTTACAGTTTTCTCTTAGGAGTTTAATATTTTCTGTGGGAGGCTTATGCACATAGGGGAAGTATAGGTATTCCTGCAGAGATCATTTTCAATGAGTTTTCATGGAGGCTCTATGGACTCCATCCTTTCAAAAAAGTACTTTTAATATTTGGGCTGGGAGCTCCAGACCATTAAAAAAAAAAAAAAGCCCATA